GCGCAGGGACTGAATTTATATGCGGGTACATTATTCTGAAATTTCAGCTTCCTGGCTTTCTCGGCTCCTGAGTTATTAATTCTTGGCACCAAAAATTTCAAGTGTCCCTGTGTGGATTTTAGGCGCGAGCGGGAGAGGGAGCCAAACTTGAGCTAGTGGGGTCATACGCAGATAAGGGGCATCCTCCTAACATTTCATATCCCTAGCTTTTCTGGTTCCCGATTGATAATTCTCACGCCAAGTCTTTTACGTGTCCGCATGAGAGACCCAGGCGCATTTGAACATCGAATTTGACTTTTCTGGGTTAGACGCGGGCACGGAATACTCTCCTAAAATTCCAGCTTCCCAGCTTTCGTGGTCCTCAAGTTATTAATTCTGGTGCCAAAATTTCAACGTGCCCGGGCGTCAGGCCTAAGCCTGCACAGGAGCTAAATTTATAGGCTGGCAGGGAACATAATCCTAAAATTTTAGTCTCCTAGCTTTTGCGCTTCCCGAATTATTTCGGCGTCAAAACTTCAGCGTATCCATACCTGAGACTTAGGCGGGCGTAAGGACTGAATTTATACGAGGGTAGGAGTATTATTCGGAAATTTCAGCCGCCTAGCTTTTACGGTCCCCATGATATTAATTCTGACACCCAAAAATTTTTTATGCCCATACGAGGAATCCAGGCATGCGGGGAAGCTAAATTTGAGTTTGTAGGTTATATGCGGGCAAGAGACTTTCTCCTAAAATTTCAACTTCCTAATTTTCCTGGTCCCTAAGTTAATAATTTTCGCTCCAAAACTTTCATTCTCCTGTACGTTAGATCTAGATGCAAGTGAAGGACAAATTTAATTTTACTGGGTCACATGCGCGCAAGTAACACCCTCCTAAAATTTCAGCTTTCTACTTTCTGTGCTTCCGGAGTTATTTAGGCGTCAAGACTTTCACGTGACGTACGTGAAGCCTGGAGGTGCGCAAATGCTGGATTTGAGTTTGCAAGATCACAACTGGGTAGGAGTGCTCACTTAAAATTTCAGCTTCCTAAACTTCTCCGGTTCCACAGTTGAAACACCCAGACAAAATGCACTCAGAACACACACACACACGCACAAACATACACAGGCACACACACTGACACACACACACACACACACCACACACACTGACACACACACACACATACATACACAAACACAGACGGGATCTTGAGAACATGCGTAACTGTTACAGCATAAAACGCATATGAGTAATCCGAAATCAAAATTTGAAGGAAATACCTCGAAATCAATATCTCGAAAGACGACACGGCTATTTTTTGCTTCGTCCGTATGGGGTTCCAACATAGCTGCAAACACTGGCGAACGTGCGGAGAGTATCACTTGATGCGCTGGCAGCTCACGATCACCCGCAACAATTGTAAAGTCCGTGAGCCGTCCCTCCTTGTAAATTGCTTCCAAATCGCGTGCAATCTAAAATATTTCTTTACGACAATCTAAGTAGCTATTATCTCCTCGCCCACGACTTCGACACAGATAAAAATTTCTGAGAGATTCTGTCTAAAAATTTCCTCGTCGAAACATAGTTCAGGGCGGTTAGGACATTAATTAATTATGAAGGATACTTTGTAAATCTGGCAAAAGAAATTACAGGCCTCCCTCCAAATTTATTTATCCCAAGAGACCAATAAATTCGCGAATTTAATGAATCCTTCCTTTAAAATACAGCACCTAACCCCTTCCAGACGATTTAGCGTGTTCGTGGTGCGCTCATTTACTGATAAACATGAAAATATATGCTACTAATTCTTTTAATAAAGTTACTTCACGGTCCGAAGTGGCTAGCGAGACCAGGGTGGAACAACATTTTCTACATGTGAGTTTACTTAATTTTCATCATCTATTCCTCTCTTTCTCTCTCCTCTCCCCTCCCTCGCCCCCCCCCCTTCTCCTGCTTCCACGCTGACTTTCGCTGTACGGCGGAATGGAGAATGTACTGCTGAATCCCACTTCACCCCCATCTAAATGCGCCGTTTGTACGTAGTCTAAGATGAAAATTGCATAGAGACTCGAATTAGAATATTACCAGTTCCTGGATTCCACCGTCTTTTTCTAATCCTCCTCTTCCTCTCCTATTCCACAGTAATCTTTCAGTGGATCTATCCACTGAACTGGTGATTTCCCCCTTGCCTGTCCAGCAGTATCTGAATATCAGAACGTGAGAAAGGGTTAGAAGATTGAGCAAGGAATTCAGAAGCTAATAATAAACTGAATGTCTGCCAAGAAAAAAACAGCTGACAGATAAAAGATAGACAAAATCATGTTACCCACCTTATGCAAAAAAAAAAGGAAGAGTCATAGTACGCTCAGTCGGTCCACTAACTCGAGCGACCGGACCGGCGCAAATACGAAAGAATAAGACAGTCATGGATTATGATTCAAAAACTGTTCCAGTCATTGCAGAAGAGTAAGCCAAGGCGAAAAACAACTACCATGAAACGGCACTAATGTTTCTAAACACTCGGCTCGGCTCGGTCGGCCCCATACACGACTTGCAAAAATTTCCTCTCGGCGATGGTGGGTGGGGCTACCGCATGGAGAATTTTGGAGGGGTTTGGAGTGCAACAAGTGAGAAGAGAGTGGTGTGCAGTGGGTTTTGTTCGAGGCAAGGGAGAGGGTTGGGATTTAATGACTATAATAGATTTCTTATCAGTTGGCCAGGCACATTTTGGGGAGTGGGAAGAGAGAAAGGAGATGATGGTTGGACTAAGGAAGTGTGCTCCTGGTTTTTTGCCGGGGATATCCGGAGTTGGAAAAAGGCTAAAATACTGCTTGCTTCCAGAATGTTCTTATAGCGAGGATGCAAAGGAGCTCAAATTTTACTTTGCGAACAGGATTTCAGGACAGGGTAGAGAAGGAAAACGAGGATGCAAGTCGGACACAAATTCGAGGAAAGAACTGAAGACATTGGTAAAGAGAAAAGGACTAACAGCACTATAAAGTAAATTAAAGCAAACTTGAGCCTATGAACATACTGGGTCTATGAATATACATAAAAAAGGAAAAAAATATGAATTTACGGATAAAAGCAAAGCAGGAAAACTTCGCCTGTGCGAGTGGAAATTAGTACAAAAACCCGTCGTCAGTAGGGGAATTACCCTTTTATGAAGCTGAATTTAGGTAAAACTGAGAGCAAATACGGTAAAGCTGCCTAGGTAAGGCTGTGAGTTCTCAGCTTTACCTAAGCATGACCAATATAAGTAAGGACGCTCATTACTGTAGACGGGTTTTTGTAAGACATTTTTCACTCGCATAAGCTCAGTTTTTATTTGCTTTTGCTTTCTTTAGTTTTTATTCATAGGTTCCGACTTTCTGATTTTGCTTTTTTTCGTCTATCTTCTTAATCACAGGTTTGCTTTAATTTACTTTGTGCCGCTATGCTGTCTCTTTCTCTTTACTGCTATCTTCAGTTCTTTTCTCGAACTCCTGCTTAGTATCCTTGTCCTCCTCCCCCATCTTATCCCCAAGTCCCGCCTTCAGAGCAGCATCTGGGCACTTATCATCCGCCACCTTCCAACTACTGTCACCATTTATCGTCTTGAACTCCTGATTAGCCCTTACCTCTATCCTGTTCCCAATACCTGCCTCGTGCAGCTGCATTTGGACATCCACTAACGACCACCTTTTAATTACGTCCAACTCCTTCACTCACCAATCCTCAATCCGCGATCCAGCCACCGAAAAGGTAGCGCTATCCAGCGCTCAATGACGAAGTGCCAAACAGTGCCGGCACGTGATGCCCCGAAATAGCGTTAGCAGAAAAGCTGGAGCATTTCACACTGACGGCGAGTCAAGCGAAACTTTAGTAACTAACCGTAGCAAAGTGACCCCATTTAATCAAATTCAATATAGTCAACCTCGTCTTTTGCACTGACATATGCCAGTTTTTCAAAATTTCATAAAAATAATTTCACAAGGACGAAGAAGCAAACCTCAGCTGGACGTGCTTCAGGAATACCAGTGAGGCGTGGAGTCTGACTGCTTTTAGTGACAGTGTCAAAAGTGATCGTAAGGCTCAGTACAAGCTGAAGCTCGTCCTGCGGCTGTATATGACTCACCAAAACATCACGTCGTATATACTCGAAATATCCATGCAGCTGAAAATGAATTATCAACTTCTCACTTGCAACAGTGCTCGAGGAACCAGTTTTCTTCTCATTCTTTGCTTTATCTCTTCATGCCTTCTATTCCTCCTCTGCAGCTTTGCATTTCAAAATTACAAGAATCAGTGAGTGGTAATAAAAACACACGGCTGGATGAAACTGCTTGTAAAAATAGGAGATGGCGAAGCACACTTGAAGACCGGCGGTTGTGGTAACTTCGTACCCAAATGTGACAAAGTAAAACAAAGGTGGGCAACTGGCGGCCTGCGGGCCGGATCCAGGCGGCGCCTGGTTTTTAACCGGCTCGCGGAGGAGACCGGAATGTGACACCTAACTAGATGGTCGGGAGATTTGTATTTCACCATGCCTCTGCACTCCCATGAAAATAAAAAAAACTAACCCCGCACAAAGTTAAAAGACGACAATCTGCAAATTCTCTGAAGTTCTGTGTCAGTGATGTAAATCCAGAATGATCTTGTATCAAAAGTTCAAGCCCAGACTTCACATTAGCCTAGTGTTGTTTACTTTTTGATGCGTTTTTGCTGTGCAGCGCTATAGCGCTGCTACAGTGAGTAAAAACGCATATTTTCGAGATGTCGTCCGTGTGCATGTTTTAAAGCGAGTGAACTTTGTCACTTCCAACTCAGCAAACAGGAAAGCTAGGAGGCTGAAATTTTTGGGGCATATTCCCATTCTATGTGTCACCTTTTAAA